TGAACTCATGGAGATCCACCTGCCTCTGCCTCTGCCTCCCAAGTGCTGGGATTAAAATTTTGGGGGGAGGTGGTCTATTTCAAGTCCCAGTGTGGTGGTGCATGCCTCTAATCCCAGCACTTGGGAGGCAGAGGCAGGCAGATTTCAGTGAAATTGAGGCCAACCTGGTCTATATAGCGAGTTCCAGGTCAGCTGAGGCTACAGGGAAACCCTGTCTCAAAAAGATAAAAAAAAAAAAAAAAAAAAAAAAAAATTTGAAATTTGTTTCTGCCAGATTCATTTTGGCTCTTAACAAAGTTATGGAGCTTATCTGCCTGTATATCTAGTAAATCAATGGTTTTCTGAAAAAAGAAGGAGAAGAACAAAGCCTGGGTTACATTTGCTCTGTTTTCAAGCCGATTTCCCACTGTAGAGTCACTCTTCCTCTGTCCATGCTTGGAGCTCACTGTGTCCCACATAAAAAGTACTACAGGTCCAAACAGGCTCACAGAGGAGTAGTTACTACCAATTCTCATCATCCCCTACCCTGAGGTTTCAGGTGACTCAGAAGCAAATGGCAGAGAACAGAGGAGGCAGAGTCCGGGCACACAAAGAGCCAAATCCAGGCTTAACTACTTACTATCTGTGTGACCTTGAGTAAGTCACATGGCTTCATAGACTCACTATCAACAGCTATAAAATACAGACAACATCACATTCCAGCCTGGTAAAATGGTCCGTGGATAAATGAACTGAGTTTAATCCCTGGAACCCATGTGATGGAAGGAGAGAACTAACTCCAGCAAGTAGTCCTCTGACCTCCACATGTGCACCATGGCATGCGCATCACACCCCAAGAAATAAAATGAATAAATGTGACTTTCTAAAGTCCTGCATGTTATGAGATTGTCCCAACATGGGATTGTGTAAAGATTAGCGTGATACGCATGAAAGGTCTGCAGCAAGTAACAATTTCAGTAAGATCTGATAATCTTACACAGCATTTAAGTGCATTAGACTCTGTACAGTCACACCAAGGCCAGACAATGCTACACTTCCACACACAGGCCTCAGAGTGAGCTCTGCCCTCTGCAGTGATACCAAACCTTCCTCCTGTAGGCAGATAGCACTTGCGATAGGATCAGCTGAGAAGTGAGACCAAGAAGCTGGTTTGAGAACGAGTCTGCTGGGTTTCATCATAGAGCCACTGTTTAATTGCAGGCAAGTTCCTTTACCTCCCAAGCCTCAGTTTTCTCATTTCTAAACAGGGAATAACAACAGTAGCCAAATGCATAAGCTTGTGGCAGTTAAATGCGACGATGAAAGTAAAAAATTTAACACCCTGGCTCATCCTTAGAAAATGGCTCCAAAATATTCTTGTGGTTTAATACATTATTTACCCTCAGATCATCACTTTCTGTCCAAAAAGAAAGAATAGAGGGAGATCAAAGTAATTGAGCTAGATTTCAAATGACTTTGAATAATATGCTGATTCTGTCACAAGTTAGCCAAGCGGTTGATCATGACTTTGCCTTACTTTGTGCCTTGGTTTCCCCCTCTGGGAAATAAGAAGGTTGGGGGCTGGAGAGATGGCTCAGCAGTTAAGAGCACTGATTGTTTTTTCAGAGGATCCGGATTTGATTCCCAGCAACCATATGGCAGCTAACAACCATCTGTAACTCCAGTTCCAGGGGCTCTGACACCCTCTTCTGACCTCCATAGGCATTGCATGACCCAGGTGCTCTTAGATCCACTCATACACATAAAATATAAATAATAAATAAAATGTTTTTTTTTTAAAAAAAACATGGGACAGAAGGTGGAGATGTGTGTGTTCGTGGTAACTGAAGGTAGAGGCCAAGGATTCTGCTAAACAACTTACGCTACACCAGAAAGACCCCAACATCAAAGAACTGTCTGGTCCAAAAGCTTACTAGGGTTGTTCAATGCTTGTAACCTATCACCATTTGGTCTGGGCACTTGTCAGGAACTCAATAGGCACATGTGGCCGGTGGTTCCCCATGGATCTGTCTAGCTCTTTAGTATCAACACTTGGACATGTGCCTAGAAAAATGAAGGTTTAGAAGCTTGGTTTCTAATAAATTTGCTTTCTCTCTCATCCCTATATAACTGGCCAAAAGACTTACAGCTAATTCCCCAGTCCTTGGCTAGGGACAGAACCCATCTGTCCCTAGCTGGTCAGATCCTCCCAAAGTGCCCCCCCCTCCCCGCCCGAGAGACAGGGCCTGGGTCAAACAGTGAGCCCTGTTGTTCTTTTCTGGGGAGACAATGCTTGAGGCCCAGCTACCTGCCTGACAGGGCCATTGTGGCTGGAGGAGAAAAGGGCTTTGTCAGATCAGCAGCAGAGGAGCCTATAGTTCAATAGGGCCCTTTATATGTGTTCTAATAAGTGCCCTAATGCCAGCCTGGAGAGGCCCTGCCCCCTCCTGGAGCAGATGAGGAGCCTGAGGCCCAGAGAGGGTGCAGAAGGCCCTGCTGTAGGCCCCAGCTCTCTCCACCTCAAACTACTGCCTAAAACACGAAATTCACCTGGCATTGGAAAGCCCTGTCCCAGCACAGAGCAGATTCAGCACTGCCCTAACCCAGGCAAGAAGACTGCTGGCCAGGACCTTCAAACTTAGTGATTCCTCACAAGACAAATACCTATGAAATAAATGTATTAAAGAATACATTCATCTGTCTCTCCAAATCTGCACACAGTTGTGGCAAGCACAATCTAAACATCTTGTGTCGTGCTTTTAAAAGGCCAGGCCACTAAGAAAGTCCACTAGATCTTATGCGTTCTTACCACACAAGCATGCCCCCAACACACACATACACACACACACGCACGCACACACACACACACACACACACACACACACACACACACACAGTTTTTATTTGTCACTAATTCCTCCACACAGCTAGAAGAATTAGGATTTGAAAAAATTCTAACCAGAGACACAATTTGTGTCTGCTCCCCTCTGTCTTTAGAACAAAAGTCTGATGGTGGGGAGTGTTTAGAGTTCGCGCCGTGGCCAACATGTGCTGCAGAAACAAACGTTTACTAGGAGAAGAGCGTGCTCTTATCACACCCTCCCTGGGAGGTAGCATGGTAAGATCAATTGATAGTTTCCAGCCATTCCAGTTTCATTTTGCTCAGCAGTCTGACTCACAGCGGTCTTAAAGGCACTCACCTCTGGACTCTGGCTCCATATCCCTTCAATGTGAAGGGCAGGTCTGGGGTGCAGGTGTGCTTGGATGTGTTCTCTTTGCCATGCTGATGACTGCTCCTTCTCCTCCAGCCTCTACCTATCTGTCCCAAGCCTCCCCCTCCCCCCATGGTAGTTCACCCACCAGGAAGGGGCAAAAAAGAAAGCTGGACAGATAAGGGATCTAATCTTTGTAGAAAGCAAGTGACAAATCCAGAAAATTAGAGGATGCCCCATGTGAGAAGAACCCATCCTTCAAGGACTACGTAGGAGGTCACAAATAGGACAGTGAAGGAGTATTCATGGGAAGACAGACTGGGGGCCCAGGCAGCTCTGCCCTCACCCCACTCCCTTCCACGGACATAGAAAGGGTATCTGCTTCATAGGAAATTTAACGAGAAAGCCTGTGAGCATGTGCCTAATGAGGACTCTACAGATCACTGCTTTCTCTGGAGCTTCCTCCTTCATGGCCAGAGCTGACCTACAGCCCCTATGTCTGGGAGCTGGAGTTCATCTCAGCCTAATGTGCCAGGAGGCTTAGTGTGGCTGCTGACTGGACAAGTTTCATCCGGGCACTCCCAGGTTCCACCTGAGATCCTGGGCATGTTACCTGATCACCATGCCTCAGTCTCCACTCTGTAGATAATAAAGGTGCATGCTCCATATGGTTGCCAGCACTTAGAACTCTGGCTGGCCTGTAGCAAGCACTACACAGTGTTTTCATGGTTTGGGTCAGTATTTTTTCTCACTTGGTTTTACCCATGGAGGAAAGTATACTTTTGTGGCTTGATATTGTTTGTATGACGTATTAATGACAAATAAAAACTACAGAGCCGGTGAGATGGCTCAGCAGGTAAAGGTGCTTGCAACCAAGCCTGAGGACCTGAGTTGGATTCCTAAGACCTACATGGTGGAAGGAGAGAATGGACTCTGGAAACTTGTCCTCAGAATCCTGTGGCATGCACGCCCACATACATACATACCACATACATACCATGGAATCCTGTGGCATGCACACCCACATACATACATACACAAAACAAATAAATGTTTTAAAAAGCTGCATGTTTAAAGTATACAATGTGATGATTTTTATACGTATGTATTGTGAAACAGTTACAACGAAGATAACGAAATGTCCATACATCCCACATATGTATGTATTTGTACACATATGTACATGCCATCACAACTTTAGCTATATCTATCTATATATTCCATCACTTTTACAAATATACATTCATCACAATTTTATTGTATGCATACTCATAATTTTATTATATATCTAAACAATTTATTAATGGTAATTTGAAAAAAATCTGCTTCTAAATAATTGGTCTTAATTTGCACACACACCCCCCCCCATTACTATACAAGAAAAGAATAGCCTGATTCATTTGGACCTCCAAGCCCTTCATTTCCTTCTTTCATTCAGTTGACCAATCCTCTGCCATTCAATCATTCAACACAAATATGTATTGAATATTTATTGGGCGCTCTCTTCCAGCAACCTAAGGGCCCAGCATAGATCTGACTTGTAAACTAACTGAATGAATGAGACAAGGGAGGAGGGAAGGAAGCAGGGGAGGACCCAGGTTCTCAGAGCCCTCCTTGGCACTTCCACCTCCCAAAGTGGCCTCCTCTTGCTCCATCCGCCCGGGCTCATCAACTCTGCCACAGAGGGAGCCAGATGCGGGTGCTAGCGTCCCGGAAAGGCGGGGACCCGCCCCCTCTCTTTTGCCCTTGACACGGGACGGTGACTTGGTGGCTGGGCGCCCAGCTGCGGTCGCACCCCGGGAGGTGAGCTGGTTCCTCGGCATCAGGGTTGCCCAAGGCTCGGGGTGACTCCTCCCCGGGGACCCTCCCCTCCGGGGCGCGTCACTCTCCCCACCCCCGGGTCAGGACCCCAGCGGCTTCCTGTGCCCGAACCACGCCGTGGCAAGTCGCGGCCACCGGTCCCGGAGCCGTGGATCCCGGGGGCCGTCCGCTGCGCCCGGGTGGTGCGCCCAGGTCCCCATGGAGCTGCGGGTAGCCTACACCAACGGCAGCTGCGAGAACGGTGCGTGCTGCAGGGCGGGGACCTGAGCACCTTCTCCTCGCCTGCCTGCCTGCCTGCCTGCCAGGGTCACAAAACTGGGGAGGGGGAGGCTAGCGCGAATCGATCCCTGCCCCCCGCACACTCACACACTCGGTTCTCAGACTGTCCTGAAGATCTGTCGGAGATGTGACCCCCCTGATGGCAGCTGCGGGAGCAGAGACGGAAAAGAGGGAAAGGGAGCGCAGCGCGTTGGAGCAGGTGGCCCGCGAAGTGGATGGGGTGGGGGGCTCAGGGGTAGTGTGGAGTCTCTGCAGGCACTACACCTGCCCACATCTGCCTGTCTGTCTGTCACCAAAGGCAGAGCGCAGAGGGACACAGAGATTCACCACCCCCAAATCCACACCTTTCAAAAAGGGAGAGAAAGAGCCTCAGGCAATGCCCAGGAAAGACATTTGGCTTCACAGACAGTTCTTAACCAGGTAGAGGCCCTGAGCCTTCCTGAACTATCTCATTTAATCCTTGAAGTAACACCGACAAAGTAGGTAATTATTTCTTTTCTATTTATATTCTTATTATCTTAAGACAAAAGTTTGCTAAATTGCCCAGATTTACTTCAAACCTGAGATCCTCCTGCCTCAGCCCTTCTCAGCTGAGACTGCAGGTGTGTGCCACCATGGCTAGATTTAAAAAAAGAAAATTATCATTAGTATATGTGCATGTGTGTGAGCATGATGTGTGTGTGGGCACATGTGCCATGGTGGACTATGGCTATCAGAGGACAGAGGCCTTCCATTTTCCTGTTGGTTGTAGGGGGAGAGTATGCTCAAGTACCAGCCCTGAGCGGACAAGGGCTTCACCCACCCTGCCATCTCACTAGCCCCTGCGCTCAGACTTTAAACTTTTTCCTTCATATTTTCCTGTTCTTTCCCTTTTCTATGTTTTTCTTTATTGCAGTGTTGGAATTAGTCTTGGACAATTCTAGGCAAGCATTCTAACTCTGACCTGCACCCCTAGGGCTTGTAGTTACAATTTTATTATCCCCGTTCTAGAGATAGAGAAATGGGTTTCTGGCCAAGCTAATCATTTGTTCCAGGTAACACAGGGGAGGATCTAAAACTGCTCTTGGATGGAACACCTGTATCTGTGTTTCTTTCTGTACTTGATTCCTTTCTTGGTCCGGCTCCATTTTCCTCTTGTCTTAGAAATGCCAATGAGGTATACCAGTTCCCTAAATTCCACCCTTCTTCAGTGAAGCTTTCAAAGCCAGCTTTTGAGTAGTGGATGACCTTGATCTCCTGAGTCACCTTTTAACCTCAGGCAACAGGCATTCTAGACCATTCTAGAGGAGAAGACAGGAATTATGGACCTGGAACCCATTTTTCAGATGAGCACCCACTCTAAGGTGCTCCTTTTAGCTACCTTCCCTCTCTTTTTCTCTTCACTATACTGGGAGAATTTGACTCTGGAGGTGCTGAGTTCACTGGACACTGCAGACCTCATGGGCCAAAGACCTCATAGGGACCAACGACCTCAAAGGACAGCTTAAGTTGAGGTGAGTCCTCTGGCTCCACCCATCAGCGACAAACCTTGAGGAAGCAGGGGAAGGGGAAGGGCACAGGCTCTGGCTCAGAGAATTCCTCAGATGGGGCTCTTAGGCAAGGATGCCTGAGCTGGTGGAACAGGAGTGAGCCATGCACAACCAGTCTGATTAGGCTGGGGATGACAGTGTCTTGTCTCTCCATTCCTTGATTGAGACACAGATGGTGGGAAAGACAGGCCTTTCCATAGCAAAAGACACGTGGATGTGCCCTGCTGGGTTCCAGTCCTAAGTCTACCACCAAGTGTTTGTGTGACTCCAACAGGTCTTTTTCCTTTGTGAAGTCTTAGTTTCCTGAGTTAGACTGGCTGGGTTTTTTACATTATAATGGGCTTGTTGTGACAATTTCATACACATATATAATTGTCCCTTTTCTATATTTGCCCTCCCCCCCTTTTCTGCTCTTCCTCCTACCCTCTCACTATTTGAGTGTGGAGGCTGGGGGAGTTTGAGACAGGGTCTCACTAAGCAGCACTGGCTGGCCCGGAGCTACGTAGCACCGGCTGGCCTAGAACTAGCTGTGTAGACCACTCACAGAGATCCACCTACTCTTCCTGGTACTGGAGATGGAACCTAGGGCCTTGTTCATCCCAGGCAAGTATTTGAACATAAAGCTCTATCCAAGATTGGTTGGATTTTTTTTTTTTAAGATTTATATTTGTATTTATTTATTTATTTATTTTTTTAGTGTATGAGTGTTTTGCCTGCTGGAACTGGCTATGTAGACCAGGCTGGATTCAGTCTCTCAGAGATCTACCTGTCTCTGCCTCCAGAGTGCTGGGATTAAAGGTGTGCACCACTATGCCTGGCTCTTTTTGTTTTTTAATTGTGTGGTGCGTGTGTGTGTGTGTGTGTGTGTGTGTGTGCGCGCGCGCGCATGTGTATGTTCAGGGGCTAGAGGCATTGGATCCTCTGGAGTTGGAGTTACAGGTAGCTGTGAGTCGTCTGACATGGGAGGTGGAAATTAAACTTGAGTCCTCTGCAAGAGCAATATATGCTTTTAACTGCTGAACCATCTCTCCAGTCCCTGACTACTCCTACCCCCCAACTGGCTGGAATTTTTAACGGGCTTTTCCGTCTCTGTTTCTGTATGGTTCCAGCCTGTGTTTGAATGGTCAACATTATCCTTATTCTGCCCCACCAAGATGTCACTCTGCTGCAGATGTGCCAAAATCCTGATGTCTTGCCCTTGGATTTTGGGGCCTTTCCGGCTAGCTAGTTTCATCTTGTTTTGAGAAGTGCCTGGTCCAGTATCTGGAGCCTAGGCCCTTGTGACTTAGGACTGGAAAGGGGCCTTCTGTGGGTAGAAATCAGACACTTAGAAAGACTGAACCCATGGCAAACATGAGTGTGGAGTAAACTGATAAATTGCAGGGGCACATCTGGTCAGAGAGCACGCCAGATGTTCACTCAGAGGTTGGCATGGCCGGAGAGAAACTGATCTCCTGAGCTTCCCCACATTCCTGCCCTGTGGTGCAACCTGCTTTATTGGGAGTGTGTGGTGGTTCTGGGTGTGGGCTTGGCCATCCGGTGAACATGGGGTCTTTTTGAATTCGCCATTTATTACAGGTGTCAGTTTTCAGTTTCTCAACTAATGATCTGGAAATGGTTATTGTGCATGTTTCATACAGTGGTTGTTAAGGATCCTCAAGGAAAACTCTAGAATAGGGGTCATGTGCACGGCAGCACTGGCAGAGTCCTGATTGTGCTTTCTTCTGTTTCATTGAAATTGCATAGCTTTGCATTTCACTGAGGGTCTTCCCTGTGTTCCTAAGGGTCTCCTTGGGAACAGGCAAGATGGGGGCTGGCTCTGGTGCTCGAGGGAAGAGTCAGACTCCTGGGGACACTAGACCAAGGAGAGCACACTGTAAACTGTCTGTGTGGGATAGCAGGGACACCAATCTTTTTGCGGTCTGAAGCAGGCCACTAACTACAGGCATCACAGGTCTCAGAAACAAGGCCTGGAATGATGGGGTACCACACACAGGAAGCTCACCCCTCAGTCATCTTCAGACCAAGAAGGAGCTCAGTGGACTCTCAGCCCAGCAACATTTCCTCTGTAGAGATATGACATGAAAGAGAAGAATCCACTCAGTCAGTTTAGTAGGTACTGGAGGCCCACAAGCCCAGAAGGTTGGACACAATGTTCCTGAGAGCTTGGGGGGCCCCCACCTGGTGGGGGGCCATCAGAGCCACAGGTTAAAATTCTGAAGTCAGATAAGCTATATGTCCTTATGCAAGTACCTGACTCCTTATTGTCCCCATTTCCATGTCTATGGGATGAGAATTAAAGATGTCACCTACTTGACAAGTGGTCTTAAAATTTGCTAAATCCATGCAAATAAAGTCCTTAGCAATAACTTAGTGAACAGAAGCAATTATTCGTGGGTGTGTGGGTGGAGCCACAGAATGGAAGTATGAAATCTAAATCAGTGGTCAATTTCAATATTTTTGAAGTGTGCCCATGTCCCCAAGCATGACCCTCACCATGCTCTTCCCCCACAGGTTCCCTAGTCAGCCTCTACTGTTCCTCCCAAGAAGTCCTGTGCCAGATTGTCAGTGGCCTCAGCCCTGGGGTGCCCAGTAATGCCACCTTGATCAGCTGGCAAGAGAGTGTCAGGAAGAACTATGGCTTCTACATTGGCCTGGGTCTCGCCATCCTCTCCTCTTTCCTCATTGGCAGCAGTGTCATCTTTAAGAAGAAAGGCCTCATCCGACTCGTGGCTACCGGGGCCACGCGGGCAGGTAGGCTCTTTGGGCAGGAGAGGATGGGCATGGGGCAGCTAAGCCCTTGATGGATGGTTTCCCATCCCAGAGAACTGGGCTGCATTCCAAGGATGGAGCCTCAAGTGGGCATTGGAGGCTCATGCCTGAGAATCCAGACTGCCAGCAGCTGGGAGACTTCCTTTACAATCTGGAAACTTGATGATGTGCAACTGGGGAAAAGCCTCAGGATGGAGCATCAGATACTCCAAGCTTAGACTACATTTTGCTTCTTACCAGCCTCCCAGGCAAGTCACAACTTCAGTGAAATGGGATCACAAAAGCTCTGTCCGCAGCACTGCAGACTCTGATGTGCCCTAGCTACTTGCAGCTGAATCACAGTGCAAGCACTGAGACTTGCTCATTTGGAAACTAGGATGTGATTCCATGAAACATCTTTGAAAAAAGAAATCATGTGTAAAAGGAATTCACTTGTGGAAACACCATTTATTGTATGCCTGCTGTGTGTCAGGTACAGTGTGAGGCATGGGGATGCAATGTCCCTGTAGAACATTGGTCAAATGGAAGAGACAGACAGACAACAGGCAAGTGTCCTATGGTGTATTAAGTGCCATCATGAGGGAAAATACAGACTTTCAAGGGAATATTTTCTTTCTTAAAAAATATTTTATTATTTTTATGTGTATGAGTGTATTGCCTGCATGGATGTAAGTGCACCCATGTTGTGCAATGCCCTCAGAGGTCGGAAGAAGGCATTGAATCCCCCAGGAGTGGATTTACAAACGGGTGTTAGCCATCATGTGGGTGCTGGGAATTGAACCCCGGTTCTCTGTGAGAGCAGTCAGTGGTCTTAACTGCTGAACCATCTCTCCACCTCCCGAGGGAATA